AACAAAAATGGGCCATTTTATAATGATAAATTATATCATATTTTCCAAAAGGCTGCACCATTTCGGGGCATCCCGTTATCCCTGTAGCTACTTCTGGTGCATTTTTCTTCCCCCTCTTCCTTTTCTTCTGCTCCTCCTTCCCCTTCCCCGCTCTCTGCTTTCTTCCCTACTACTTTTGCTTTAAAGCCTTATTCTCTGTTTCTGTCACCCACACTTTGCTTTCTTGAGTGGCTGAGGTTTCCGAGGACCCCCAGCCACAGAGACTGCCTTTCTTCTAAGGGACATTGTTATCCTAAATGTCTGGTGTTGATTTATCCAAGCACATTCCTGTGAAGCCCACCTATGTGAAGCAAGTGACAGAGGCTGTGAGAGAAGACCTCATGCAAGCCTGGACAGTCAGGCTGGGGACAGTGACAGAAATTTGCAGTGCGTACAGCCAGAGTGAATGGCTTCTCATCCCACAGCCCACTTCTGAGTGCTGGGTCCTCCAGATTGTTCCTTTCAGTCACACCAGTGGCACTGGATGAAAGCACTTCCAAAAATAATGTCCTTTATGCATTTTGTATTTTAATTCCTACTGAGAAAATTCTGATTTTCATCATTTAAGTTATTGTCCTAAATTCAAGAACATTCATTCCTCAGTAAGCTCTCAAGACTGGCCTGGCATGTTAATTTTTGTCGTGTATCTGCAGGATAAAGGCTGCCACTCAGCTCACATTTGGCCTCCAGAATAATGTTTAAATCTACATCTTACCTCATTCTGAGTAAGTTGGGCAGGGAGAGGGTTGCATATTTTAGCAGAAAGTCATGTGCTGATGGGCACTTAGTAATTTATAATTGATATTAAATCTTCTTCATGTTCTTCCATTTAGAGACACTGAACATTCAGCGACTCTGCCTTCCTTTGGATGAAGTCTCATGTCTTTTGCATGTTAAAATCCCTACGATCTGTGTGTCATCTACTTTTCCCTCTCTTAGCTGTCTGGAGTGGCTCCTTTGAGCCCTTCATTCCCTCGGCCTTGCGTGAGAGTGGCCTTGCAGGTAGTCCTGGTGGCACATGCTCCTGCTAGCCAATGCTGGCTGCCCCCACACTCCTGACGCCACCCTCCCTGCTCCTTGGCCTCCTACCTGGAATCCACCCTCCTGTTTACTTCCTTGTCTTCCTCCAGGACTTGCGCATGAGCCCAGCTTTCTATCTGTGACTCTCATGGCTTTACAGTCTAGATTTTTACCTTTGCAGAATCGCTTGTTTTCACCTATGTATTTCAGTTTGCACTCCTGCAAACTCATCATGGTGGGCTCCATGGTGGGGTTCCCACCTAACTCCAGGGGTGATACCAGGAACTCATGCTTTAACTCATCGTGGTGCTGGCCTAAGTGGCTCTTCCCTTATACCTGATGGCTTTCAGCTGTTCCTCCCTCATCTGTTTCGCCTGCAGCGCACCCACGAAAACATACTTTTCCGTCTCTTTTAATGTCCTCCTTATCATCCACTCATCCCTCAGAGCCCACATCACGTTTCCCCTTTTCAGAAATCTTTCCTTGACTCTTCTGTCTGGAAGTAAATTCTCTTTCCTCCAGTTCATAGTATTTATTGAACTACATAGCATAAAAATCATATGGAGAGCTCCTGAGATTGTAATAGCTTCTTGCTGTGTCTTCTAAGCACCTGCCATATGTGGCCATGGTGGTGTGCTGTGCATGGTGATTGACTGAGGGACCGATGATGAGAGGCCTGTCAATTAAATGCCGTGGTCACTGGTCTAATTCTTGCCTTTGGGAAATGCTGGCCCAGCACTTCTTAGGTTTCTTGAACCTGTATCTTTTAGGGTTTCTTTTCATTACTCGGCTAAACTTTGTGATGCCAGGTGGTCTTGTCCATTTTGATTTCCACTGTAACCTTACTGTTTTACAGTTTCTAAATTCAGCTCTTAAGACTGACCCTGACATGTTAATTTCTTTCATGTATCTGCGAGATAAAGGCACTCAGCTCACCTTTGGTCTCCAAAATAATGTTTAAATCTACATCTTACCTCATTCTGAGTAAGTTGGGCAGGGAGAAGGTTGCATATTTTAGCAGAAAGTCATGTGCTGATGGGCACTTAGTAAGTTATAATTGATATTAAATCTTCTTCATGTACTTTCATTTAGAGACAATTTGAAGAGCTTGTGTAGGTGGCCACAGGGCAAAACTTCTGGGAAAGAGTTACTGTTTGTAAATCAAAAGTGTTGCCATGATAGTTCTGTACATGTATGCTCATGGTGGCAGCTTTTAAGAAGCAGAACTCTGAAAATGATGACTCAGAGGATTTCAGAGGTTGGTTGTACCAAGGTGAATGCTAAGCTAAAAGAGAAAATAATATGGGTGACATGGAATTGAGTCAAACAGAGAAAA